TCTGCTGGAAGGCAGGAGGGCTCTGCAGAGGGACCTGGACAGGCTGGAGAGTTGGGCTGATTCCAACGGGATGAGGTTCAACAAGGCCAAGTGCCGGATCCTTTGTGACTTTGGCCACAACAACCCCATGCAGTGCTACAGGCTGGGCACAGAGTGGTTGGAGAGCAGCCAGGCAGAGAGGGACCTGGGAGTTTGGACTGACAGGAAGCTGAACATGAGCCAGCAGTGTGCCCAGGGGGCCAAGAAGGCCAACGGCATCCTGGCTTGGATCAGGAACAGTGTGGCCAGCAGGTCCAGGGAAGTGATTCTTCCCCTGTACTCAGCGCTGGTGAGGCCACACCTTGAGTGCTGTGTCCGGTTCTGGGCCCCTCAGTTCAGGAAGGACATCGAGGTGCTGGATCAGGCCCAGAGAAGAGCAACAAGGCTGATGAAGGGACTGGAGTACAAGTCCTGTGAGGAGAGGTTGAGGGAGCTGGAGTTGTTTAGTCTGGAGAAGAGGAGGTTCAGGGGAGACCTCATCACTCTCTACAACTCCCTGAAAGGAGGTTGTAGCCAGGTGGGGGTTGGTCTCTTCTCCCAGGCAGTTATCAGTAGGACAAGAGGGTATGGTCTTAAGCTGTGCCAGGGGAGGTTTAGGTTGGATATTAGGAAAAAATTTTTTGCAGAGAGAGTAATCAGACATTGGAATGGGCTGCCCAGGGAAGTGGTGGATTCACCATCCCTGGAGATTTTTAAGATGAGACTGGATGTGGCACTTAGTGCCATGGTCTAGTAACCACGGTGGTGTTGGATCAAGGATTAGACTTGATGATCTTGGAGGTCTTTTCCAACCCAGACAATTCCATGACTCTACGATTCTGAAATTGGATACACTCTCAGGCAGTATATATGTCCAGTACCATTCAGGAGATGCTTCAGAAGGTGGACACCTGTTCAAAACTTACGAGTCTGACAATTATAATAGAGAGAGAACCTTCCATTGCATCATCTGTGTGTACCTACAGACACAAGAGCATGGGCCAATACACATGAAAGGACACTCATCCTAGCCCTGCTCAAGACATGAATGAACATTTTCAAGTGTGAGCACCTGCATTTTGCCTGCAGTATGAAACAATACTGTTCCCAGTTCCGTTGCCACAGCATACAGAAAAGAACAGAGAAATGCGAACGGGAAGATTTAAATGAGTGAAGAAAGAAGTGCAACAGAGGACTTGAAACAGAATAGCAAAGGGGGAATTCATGACGTAGAGTATCTAAGGTTGAAGGTACAAAATTAACAGACCTATTGTCTGTTCTTTCATTTCATACCTTGTAAAAAGCCTTTCAGTTTCATAATTACAAATTTCCCACGAGGCCTGTATGTGATCTGTTTCCCTGAAACTCTGTAAAACAAAGACCACAGATGGCCTTCTTTGATAAGTACAATAATTAGAGAATAGACTGCATAGTGCTAATTCTTTAGTTCTGAGGTCTTCATATGGAAACTGTAAAAGATATATCTGGATACCAGTTTGTCTACATAGGATGTGTTTTGTCAAATGATAAGATATTGAATTGGACCGTAATCTATAAAATCCATTTTAAGGATTTAATCATCAACCATGGTATGATGAGACTATTTAGCTCAACAGAAGGCAAGTAATTCAAGCACTACTCAAGAATTATTTTTAGGCATCAACTGGCAGCATAGCTAATTACTCAGTTTATGTCCGTAATGACTGAATAAACTCTGGCTCTGAAACAAATGGATAATACCACTTTGCATTTGCATAGCACTTGTCATCTATAGACCTGACAGTTTTAAAAGGATGGGCAAACATTCACAGTGACTATTTCTAGTGAAAACAGTGTCCTGCATAAATTGCTTCTATGAAGGCAAATCAAAGCCTGCTTGAAAGACACTGCTGCATTTAGCCACAAGATTTAACAACCAAAATACAGTGAAAACATATGCTATGCTTATATGAAAGGGTAATTAGGCAGGAAAACAAGTTTTTAGAAAAGAGATGGCATTGTTTTTTGTAGAAATCTGAGATTAGCTGTATTTAGAACATAATGATTATGTGCCCAGTCCAATCCCTGTAGTCAGTTATTGGTCTATGTAGTTGATGTCACCACAAAGAGACTTGCAAATGCTTACTATTTTTAATTTCAGAATTACTCTCTGAGATCACTGTCTGAGCTGGGATGCCTTCCCATAAAGCAGGCAGGTTCCTGCCAGAGCTGAGAAGCTAAGAAGAGATCTACTACCTGTGCACAGTAACACAGGCAGCTGACTCTGAAACACATTTAGGCAGTATTTAAATATAGAACAAAGTGTGCCCAGACGTGCCAGGTCCCATTTCTTACCATCTTTGTCTCCTGGAAACAGCCACAGCATATTATTGTAGGCATGAAGGAACATTGTTAGACTTGCCTGGCAGAACCAGAGCTGGCATGCTGCTTTTGGGTCTCAGCAGATCTTAGGTAAAATCATCCAAGAAAACCCATGAACTAGAACTGGCTTGACCTAGAAGTGAAGAGGGCTCCTTTATCAGCCTTTGGGTTGCAGACCAGCTTGTGAAGTTACTTGCTGACACTGATTTGCTTCAGTCTTCTTCCCTACACTTCTGTAAATAATATTTTGTGCCTTTACATTTGAAGCCCTCAAAGCCTTTCTTCTTGCTGTATGTTACATGACAGAAGAGTACATAATGGAAATGGATTATTATCTTGGACAGTTTTTTTTCAGTGCCATTGTACTGCAAATATAACATCAACATCTATACATATATGTCAATACTAAGATTTTTATATATTCCTTCTTATCATTTGCACTGCATCAATAACCCAGTCCAGTTTAGTTTACTTAGTCTGGGTAGTCAAATTATTCCAGTTACTTAATTTTTATCTACATTGACAGAGACATCCTTAGATGTCTCTGCAAATATATAAGTTGCTTCGAATATATGTTGCCTCATTTTGAAAGGCACTGGCAAATGTCTCAGATACTCTGTGTCAATATAACACAACATAATACCTAGGTCTGAGTATCAGCCCAGTCTTGTGTCTCTTCAGCAACTAAAATAAAGAGGAAAAAAAAAGAAAAACTCAAAATTTAATGTTCCTATCTTTTCTGAATAATTTTGAATGACTGTTACCAACATGCATCAGAAAAAGAGTATTTTATTTACAAGGGACAACTGCTTTAGTTCAAATTGTTGGCCAATACAGATATGATGTGAGAATTCTACTTACTTATCTACCATCAAATTAATCCTCTTGACTCATTGTTGCTCCACCCTAATGCTGCACACACTTGTGTAAATATGATGCAAGGGCTTCTTGTGTGCATGCGTCACAGCTGATCTTATTGCAGATGCCAGTAATTTCTATTATTTCACTCCTGATAATTGTGGGAGAATCTGCCCTCACAGGGCAAACTTGAGACTTAAGGAAGGCACCAAACCAGTGGCAGTTTAAATTGCTTTTGGCAGAAAGTACAGACTAATAAAGCTTGTGTTTGATGGCTGTGCTTCCCTTAATGAAATCAACCCACTGAGGTGAAGGCACAAATACATTCTAATGCTGGCATGTGAAACCCATTCTTGCTGGAGCTACATGCACTTCTCTCTCAGGATGGATCACGAGATGAGAACAAATTTTAACTCAAATGAATTTTGCAGTAAGGAAAAGCTCTAGACCTCCACTAACTTTGTGCTAAAGTTTTAAGTCAGTGTCTCACAAGGGCATTAGTAGGCAATCACTTTACTTCAATTATCAGGCAATAAACTAATTCCCTGGAAATTAAAAGTCAAATAACTTCATACATCTAGTACACACTACCTACATATTCAAGAATAATACAAACTTAAGAGTCTATTGCTAGACTCTGGTAGAAACAGGCATGTGTAGAGAGATTAGAGTATGTAAATGGCAAATTATCTGATGCAGAATTCCTTTTTAGTATTTTCATATTACGATCGATGTTTGCAATGTTTACTGAAAATAAGTTTTCCTTCTCCCAGAACTTTTCTCTATGTGATGTTCTAGCAGATTTTTATTTTTTTTTGCATAGTGCATAGCTTGGTAATTTTGCAAAAGATGCCTCCATTTTAAGATCTAGTAGTCTTTAGATATTTCTATTAAGACATTGATGGCTAGCATCATAAAATATGTCTGTTCTAACACGCTTTGTTTAAATGCTTATTTTGTTTACCAGCTTCATAGGATGCCTGTAATGCCTTTGGTGCATGTACAGGATATGGTACTGTCAGTTAATCTTTGAGAATCTAGGAAGCAGAGTTTCTTCACCCTGAGACCTTTTACGTTGTGCTAGTGACATGTCTGCATTCCAGCAGCTGCACACCTACTGTGAGGAAGGTGAAGAAAGGGCTAGTGCTCCCTGCCAGATTCTTCTGAGTGTCTGAGCACCAGTTTGGTCAGTTGGCAGTGGGCATATCCCAAGCCTGAAAGACCAAAGTCAGACTTAATTTTTGAAAATGTGGTCTGATTTGAAGTCTCAAAATCCACCTTCCTTTTTTAGAAAACTTTAATCACTTACCTTTTCCTACTGTAATGAAATAACACTCCCTATTTTGACAGTCTCTGGCTCTATGGAATGAAAGGCAAAATAAACAATGAAGACATTGAACATTCTAATACACAACCTCAAATGTTTCCTTAATTCCTAGGCCTCAACTAGACAGCTTATCCAAACATTTCCTCCTGCTGACTCCTTCTGTCCACCACAACATCCTGGGTTACTAGATTTTAGATAGGAACTTCTAATACACATAATCCACATTGAGAGCAGAGTTTCATTAGCACAAACTCCCCTATCATAATTGTAATCTACAGTAAGTGAATGCAATTAGACACAACAGGGTCTCCCCTGAGCCCTCCCCTCCTCTGCACACAGACAGCAGCCATAAGCTGACACCAGGCTCTTGTATAAAGCTAGCACACTACATTCACTGCAATAGCAGCAGGTCAACAGGGTTGCACTTTCCAGGATCATGTCACTGCTTCTCCTTCAGCTGTTAGTGCTCTCATGTCTTGGATCCACAGAGCCACAGGGAAATTCACAGCAAAGGAAAAGCAGAAAGTCATTTCAGCACCTTTTGTATCCAGATAAAAATCTTAAAAGTCAGAGTTTTCGTGAGCTGGTAGGTGAGAACCCAGTAGCTGTTGAGGACAAGCTGGAAATACCAAGCTTTTTTGTAGCAATTCCACAGACAGCATCTGAAAGTGAGAAGAAAGAGGAGAAAAAAATGTCAAGATTCATCCTTCCCAATGCAGAACTTTATGCAGACCAAGGCCTGAGAACCTGGGCAGCACCCAGAGAGATCTCTCCTGTGGAAAACTTCTCTCCACCCCATTATTCCAGCAAGAGGGAGTCTGAGTCTCCCTACAGAAAAGATGCCAAGAAATTTTGGGACCACTTCATCTTAAAGAAAAATTCAGCATCTGAAGAGGTTGTCCTGCCAATCAAGAGCAATGAAATGCATCAAGAAAACTGCAGAACCCTGCCTTTTGCCCAGGTAAGAACAGGTGTCTGAGATCAACAAACATGCCTTTTGTAATCAGCAACTAAAGATACATGGGTTATTTCAGTGGCTAAGTCACACAGCTTCATGATGAGCAGCTGAAAAACACTGATGAAAAAACTTTAGTCTGATAAGGCAAACTGCTAAATTGCAGCACTGGAAAGCCACACGCTTGATTTTCAGAGAGCTATTTATTCTTTTTATGTAAAGATGTTCTGACACAGCCTAAGCAAGTAGGGCATTGGGGAGTAATTATCCATTCAATTAATATACACCTCAACAATTTGTATATCAGAATTATTATATATATATATATATATATATATTTATATTTATATTTATATTTATACGTATGTATGTGTATATACACAGTCACATGTGCATATTTACAGAGTCCCGGGATAATTGTTAAAAGGATAAGCTGGTTGTTTTCTTAAAGCTAAGCAAGGATTCTTTTCTGCTGTATTAATTAGAAGACTGATGCTTAAACCTGATTCTGTGCTAAAAATGCTGGAGAATTGGTAAATTTTCCCATGCAAGGATGAAGCCCTTCTGTTATACACTAATATCAAGACAAGTAAATAGTACAGATAGAAGTGCCGCATTCCTTGTAAGTCAACATCTATTCTCAGTGTTTCTGTAGTCACAGTCTGTCAAGGACTATGTTTTTTCATATCCAGAACTGAATTTATTTCACACAGACATATTTAAATATAGATGTGGCCTAGAAACCTGTACCATTTGTTCTGAGAAGAAAAAAATGCGGTGCTGTTTTCTTCAGGGCTGTTTTGTTGTTGTTTTTTTTTGTTCATATCTTCTAGCAAAGTCTGTGGGCCATTTCTTACCAGAAACCTGAAATTGCTTTCTGTTTCAGGGTGTTACTCATAACAGCTGTGAGAAGGTGACAGTACAGAATAATCTGTGTTTCGGAAAATGTAGTTCCTTTCATGTTCCTGGTCCAGAAGATCATCTTTATACCTTTTGTTCTCATTGCTTGCCCAGTAAGTTCTCCATGAAGCGCCTGAATCTCAACTGCACTGGTTCTGTCCCAGTGGTTAAAGAAATCATGATTGTAGAAGAGTGTAAATGTAAGACTCGGAAGATTAAAGATGCTACAACTGGATCTGAACTGTCAAACTTACATGCAAATGTACATGAGCACAATTAACCAATGCAAAGTACCTCTTAACACAATCATAAGAATTCACCAGTGAAAAAACCCAAACAAGTAAAGCTGTCATCACTCTAGTACATAAAAATATTAAAAATATAGATTTTCTACATGAACTTCTTCTCTGTTCCAACAATAACTTTACCTAAAATGTAACAGATGTTTCCTTGCAGCTGTTAAAAAAGTGGAGATGAGATTACTAGGCTTATGTGTAAAGGTCTTACTTTAACAAGGAAAAACCTTAAATATTTTTCCACCCTTCCTATCACTGTTTCTGGGATGCTAGTAAACAATGGCTGAAAAATTAACATTGTTTAACTGTGTAAAAACTAAATGTACTGACTGGTTTACATTTCCTTTGCTTGCAGAGACTGCCCGTATATTTTGCAGGGAAGTAGTCTCCTCCCTGCAAAAGCAGGTTTACTTTTAAATGAAGATAATGGCTGGAAAGCATGAAATATAAATGGACACAAGGCACATAGAAAACTGTGACTAGTTAATGTCATTCTGATTGCTCCCATTCTGATTCAATGGGAGTTCAGTTCCCATTGAAAACTAATAGTCCTCAAAATTTACACCAATTGATAGTAGTTGCAAAGGATGTTTTGCCATAGAAACCATTTGTTATCTTCCTATATGCCTCCATTTGCTCTGTACATTTTTTTCTACTGAAAGTGTTACATGGTACAATATAAAAAATGCTATAATCACAAAGAAAACATCATAGATGGATTTTTGTTGTTATTATTATTTAAATTCACATTTAAATTTAAATGTTATTATCATTATTTAAATTTGTGGAAAGACATATTTTGGAAACGTATATTTTCCAGTCTAATAAGTTTTAACATTGTCAGTGAATCCAAGATATAGTTCAAGTTCTCAACACCTAAACTAAAGCAGAAAAGGCAGTTGTGTGACAGAAGATCTGCACAAGGACTTTATCATCATGGCAATACCTGAATAGCTTTACAGGGACAACTGAGAGAACTCTGCTAGGAAGCGTCTGAGTCTACTGCTAAGCAACACAGCACCAGCGGCTGCTAGCTGAACTGCTGGCTTTCCTGCTCACTCCAGCTGCTTCTCCCTGGATTTCTCTTGCAGATCTGGCACACCAGGCAGAGATCAGCTTCCAGCAATTAGAGTTCAGTCTATTTCTAAGCCAGTTCTTTCAGTCCTCTGAGAATCTGTTCCATTGCTATTGCCAAACTCTCCGAACTGGGCCACTGTTGTTAAAGTGTCACAACTCTTTTTTTTGGGTATTGGAAATCACTATTGATTTAGCTGGTCAATTCAAGGGTTGGGTAAATGATTCCTTGTATTTGAACTGCCATGGGATCAGAAGTGCCTTAATATTCTGTCAAAAAATATGTGCAGCATTGCTTTGGAGTGCGAGTCCTATGTTGAATATTTATTAAAAATTGCATCTGAATGATATTCTGCTACTGGATCTGAAGCTGTTTGCTTCTGCAGGTCACTTGCAGGGAATGAAGTGTATGTAGTCACCTTTCATTACACATAAACCTGTTTTTAAATAATAAAAATTGCATACTAAAACTGAAGAAAGTCTTCTCTCTATCCTTTTATACAAAGGACTGATGTGCTACCTAAATATAGCTGTTTATATGTTATGTCATGATATAGGATGTCATTCCAAGTAACTAGCTGTCAAGATCTGCAGTTTTGGTCACCACAATACAAGAAAGATATTAAGCTAATAGACAGCATCCAAAGGAGGGCAATGAAGATGGTGAAGGGCCTTGAGGGGAAGCTGGATGAGGTCACTTGTTCTGTTCAGCCTGGAGGAGAGGAGACTGAAGGCAGACCTCACTGCAGTCACAACTTCCTTGTGAGGGGAAGAGGAAGGGAAGGCACTGATCTCTGTGACCAGTGACAGAACCCAATGGAATGGCCTGAAGTGCTGTCAAGGAAGGTTTAGGTTGAATATTAGGAAAAGGTTCTTCCCCCAGAGGGTGGTTGAGCACTGGAACAGGCTCCCCAGTCAAGTGGTCACAGCACCAAGGCTGACAGAGTTCAAGAAGCATTTGGACAACTCTCTGAGGCACATGGTGGGAGTCCTGGGGATGGTCCTGTGCAGGCCTAATGGTTGGACTCAGTGAGCCTTGTGGATTCCTTTCAACTCGTCATACTCTGTGATTCTACGATCCCTGTATTTTGTGTGATTATTAGTGTTCATTTTTAATCAAGACAAAATAAGAAAAGCATACAAAGCGTTAAATTTCTTAACTTTTCCTCTTTTTTACCAACCCTTTTTTTAATCTGAAAAAGCTAAATATTCCGAGATGTTTTACTCAGAATGTTTGACCCATGTTTTAAAGCTGTGTGAATATATAAGAATATTTGAAGAAAGTTTATCTGCATTTTTTTTTCCTGAAATGCAAGTATGTTTTTGATTTGTATGTTTTTTTGCAAGGCTTGATACTTGCAGAGAACTGCCTGAAGGACCTACATTCACTCCCAAAAAGATCACAGGACAATTATAAAGAAAAATCTTCCAGTCTTGTAGTTTTGACACAACTGACTGATAAACTGAGAGCTTTGCACGTGAGGATGGCAGAACTGAAACTATATGGTGGACTGTAAAGTATTCACCCTTATTTTTTAAGCTCCTTCTGTGAGCTGAAGCCTTACTGCAGTCAAAGAAAGCTATTCATGCAAGGTGTTTGCAGGACCAGATTCTTAGTGTGAATTTGCACAGCTTAAAAGTAGGTGAAAAGAGGTAATGACAGCTGTAGTAATTGCTAATTAGATTAGTGCTGTAGGTTTTTTAGATGCATGTTTAATTAACCCAGCAATGACTGGTTGCATGTAATTAGCACAGTGTTCTGCAAAATCAATCAATGTGTTAATTAGATCAGATTTCTCAGCCTTCAAAAATTCCATATTAGGAATATGTTGTACCCAGGGGGTAAGAGGATTTTGCTCTCTCAGCACAGCAATGGCCTCTCTGAGTAGGATACTGTGGATCAGAAAGGTGCAGGGTGTGATCCATATCCCTATATGGACGCTTCCAGTAGTAACACCATTATAGCAACAAACCTGCATTACTTTAGTTGTGTCTGCTTGGAGGCTGCATGCTTTCTGTAATGAAAGCTTTTCTACTTTTCCAATGTAACTATGCTTACAATGCAACTGCTGTTTTTTGTGATTTATTTCAGAGCACTGCTTGTGCAAGCCTATCTTACAGAACAAGACTAAGCCATAGTTGCAGAGCTCTCTGAAAATTCAAATCAATTCCAAGTAAACTTTCTACACTTCTGACCTTTTATTTGACCTATTGTCTCTTTTCCAAAGAGGCATGCTCTATCTAGAAAATAATTGAAAAGAAGAGCTGTTTTTTTCCTACTGCCTAAGCAAAATAAATCTTCAGTACAGGCTATTCTCTTAAATGTGGATTTAATGCGAGCAGCTTTAATGCCTACAAATACATCAAACACCAGAGTTACTTCAAACTCTTATTGAATTCTGCACAACCATATATTCCAGGGAAAAGTCTCTGAAACTGCCTTTGGTACTTCATGCTGTGGTTGGTACTTTGTTCACCGCCTCTGAAATATTCACAGCTAAGGTCATGGCTCTCAGCTGACTAGCTTTTATTGACAGGTAGTAAAATCTCTTGCAGTGCTTTGTCCTAAATGTCCCAGCTCCTTGCTGCAATAGCAAAACAACAAGATTCCCTACTTAGATGGAAGCTCTCTGCCAGCCTACACAGCTGCATAATCACATCACGTCTGGGATGCACCAGGGAGTGCGTGCTGTGCAGGATGGTGCATGTGAAGAGGTGTGGAGCTGGGGTTAGGTCGGACCCTCCATTAGACAGTTTGCCAGTAGAAACAGGAAACACTGATAGTGAACTCTAAATATTATTTGATGTTGTGCTAAACCTAACTCCTTGAATATCTAGCATGTTGCCACCAACTTCAGCTCCCCTGAAATCACTCCCTGATAGCCGTGCACACTTCCTCAGCTCACGTGAGAAAGAATGCAGATTCAAAGAGTCTGTAGTTGGCCCTGTTGAAAGAATATTGATAAAATGTTAATTTCCACACTGAGAACAAAATCATCCATTTACAGCACCTCGGCCTCCATGGAACCACCAAAATGCACTTCAAGTTGAAAAGCAAAAAAATGTAGGAGCTAAAATTATTATCAAAAAACTGAATAACAATAATAAAGCCAGGGCTGTTCTGACGCATTTTCATTTTCCTGGTTTAACGTATAGCTATTACCAGTCATTTAGTCTGATGTTCTGCTGGTGGCTGCAGCCAGCAGTCAGGGGGTTCAAACAGAGCGGACATGTACCTAAGCTTCCTTCTGAACAAGGGATATCTGCTGAAGCTTGTTCAAAGTCACACTACAATAGATATGGAAGCATTCAAGCAGTTTGTTGCCCTGCCCTTCAGACAGCAACTCCTGGAGATAGCGAGGCATTAGAAGAGCTAATATTAGAACATCTTCATCTGAACAGAGCTCCTCAAACCACTGTTAACTGCCTAAGTTAACCTACTGCCTGGTCTACCTTGTCCCATATAATCTATCTGGGCTGCGGGATCAGTAGATCTCCCCATGTCTACTAGTGAGGCAGACAGATTGGAAAACATACCTTGCCTTTGATTTTTCTGGACAATAAGCTAGAGACAAAATGGAGCCTGAGACACATTTTCGTTTAACATCTACCGCCTCATTCTCAATATGTCACGCCGCAACTAACAAAACTTCTGGGCCAGGACAGGTTTTGTTTCAGCATCCTTTGTCATTGACACAGAGTTCTGCCTTCACGACATGAAGGATTTTGCTCCCATTCAGGAGTTAACAAGTGTCTCCTATGTATTTTATCAAGGTTTGCAAGGAAGTGACCAACACCACGGTGCTGCAGAAAAGAAGTGGTAGTAACAAACTGCACAATTTAGAAGGACCCAACCAGCTGAGTACTGCTGAGAAGACTGATCTCTCAGCTCAGGAGATATTTGTGTACAGACAATGCATATGCAACAAGGGGCCCAACTGGGCTCAAAATGAATCCTGACAAACAGTATGAAGAAGCAAGGGGCTTGTAAGCCATAAGAATCACGGGAGTCACAGTGCACACTCCTGCATGCGTTCTCTATAACAGAGCATCAGCTGTTACTGCA